CCTTAAAATACTGCTGTTTTACTTGGACATCTGAGTATTTGCATTACTGAAGAAATGTATTTTCTTGTGTTTAAGGAAGCACTAGGGAATAATAATGCAGACTCTGATGTCTAAGGTCAAACAAGCAGCTTCATAAAGGTTCTAGTTGTGCAGGGCTTGGGGCTCATTATTTCAAACATATAAGCTGCAGTTTTTGAAACATGGTTTGTAACAAGCTGAGCAGAATGCAAGTACAGAGACAGTGAAATCTAAGAAAACCTCTAGTGACTGAATTTTGGATTGTAGACTCTTTAGACTGGTGTGTATGAGATGCGAGAACTTGACTGGGATTTGATTCTTGAGTAACTATTGCAAAGAAAAAATGTTATGACCTATCAGTGCTACTGGGTGGATGGAGTTTGGAGAGCTGGGATCAAGATACAGTGAATCACTCTGATGACCATTTCTCAGAAACAGCACTGGCCTACTCACTCTCTGACAGGAGAAAAGCCTTATGGCACCCTACGGTAATTTCCTTGGATTTCCTGTTTTCAGGCTCCTTTTATGAACCCGGGATGACATTAGCTACAGTTTAAAAATTATAAACAAAAGCAAACCTATGACTTCTTCGGAAGGCACAGGGGATTAGAGGGGTTTCATACTTAATGCAGTAATCCTCTCTTGGAAATGTATCTTAGAGCCTTAACGGTAAGTTGATGTTTGTTTCTTTGTTGAAAGTAAGATGATGTACAGCTTGTTTCTTGGCAGTGTTAGTGCTGGCTAATCTATCAACTAGGGTAGCTGATGCTTATTTCCTATATCTACAAAAAAACCCCCCAAACCAAAATCAAATAAACAGTGGTAGAGCCAGTTTCAGAACATGTGTGCTCCAGGGACTGGCTGGTTTTCTAAAACTTTTATCCTTCCTCTCCTTCCACTCATATTTTGCTTGTGTTTTTGTTTTTGTTTTTTTTCCTTTGGTTTTCAAAACATTTGCGTTACTATTGCCCAAGCAGGAAGCTCCTGCTTTGTAATCCTACAACCTGCAGTATGCTTCGTGTGCCTCGGCCACGTGAGCGTGGTTCCCATTTCTAAGACCCGAATAAAAAAATACTGTTCCTTCTTTCCTACAACCCCAAAGTAAGTTCCCTCTCTTTCAATGCTGTGGTTTGGATTTGTGTTTCAAGGGGCAATGCTGTTGCCATCTCCTCTCATAATGGTGGTGGGCAGCTCCCTCCCTGCCTGTCAGTAGGGAGCTCTCTCAAACAGAAACATCAATACTTCTCTAGTTTGGTTTCTTTCAAAATTGTACCAAATTGGCTTCTTGGAAGAGTTGGAATTATGGGTGCTTTGCAGTGGTATGTCCCTTGGGAGATGGAAACACTGAGTCCTGGTCTACCTAACCTGTGAGAGCAAAGCTTCAGATGAGCAGCCTGAAGTGCAGATGCCCATTTGGCAGAGGCAAATTTAATATTCTGTGCCTGCTGAGGGCAAGAGGTGGTCCTGTCATTTCCAAGCTGAGGCAGGGGATGGCTGAGTCATATCTGTGGGCTCACTGGGCAAGGTGGCATCAGAACTGGGACTGAAACCCACATTCCAGGGAACGCAATTATGCCATGTCGTTACCGAGTTATGCTCTGTTCATAAAGGCTCTTCAGTTTTATAGCATGAGGACAAAAGGGAACACAAATTAATTAGTAGGCTTTTCAAATTCTTCTTGAGTCTGAGCAGGAGTAGCTTTCTGAAATGATCTTGGAGCAGCTGCACTGTTTAATCTCAGCAGTATTTTTCCTTCAATTTTAGACTCTGAAATCATTAATTTAAGTGCAAAGGATCATAAAATCTCTCCTCTGCTCAACATTCTGTATCTTATGTTCATTTCAGAGGCTTTTATAGAATTTTATTTTTTATGGATCTTTCTACCTTAACCAAAGCATTGTAAGCAATTTATTCAAATAGCTTATAGTTATATATGTATATATTTATATATCTATGTCTAGATGTGTATATATGCATGTGTGTGTAATATTTTGGTATATTAGTACCTCAATAACATGGTTCAACAAGCAGCATTATTACAATAACAAAAGAGGTGCCAGTAGTCCCACAGGCATCTTTAGAGACAAAAAGGTATAAGGCTCCCAAACCCAGCCAAGTGGAACCTGTGATTTGTTGAAATACTGTCTGCTCTGTGCAGTATTAAATATTTTAAAAGTAGTAATTAAAAAGAAGAAGAAGAAAAAAAGTTGTTCCAGAATTTTCTCAAGTATTTGCTTTCATGGCTCTTTTGATTGCACTAGTTACAGGTATTTCAGGGAAATTCATGGAGTGGAAAGGCTCTCCTGGCCAGGCAGGCCTGCACAGAGCTGTGGCCATGGGAGCAGCACAAAGCCAGACAGAGCTGGCAGTAGCTTTTGTCCCTGGGCGCCCAGAGGTCAAGGACAGTGTTTGCTGTTAAATTGCTGGGCACGGGATCAGCTTTGGGCCTTCCTCTTCAACTGTTCTGCCCACCAGCTTCAAACTGGACCTGGAGTTGTTAAATGGGAGGGGTGGGCTCCTCGACATCCCGCTGTACTCGTCTCAGCTGTGGCCACTGAGAGGTTTTACAGGAAGGCTGTTTTTTAGGGCCTACGGCACTCCTGCATGAGCCTGTGTTTCTGTTTGCACAGTGGGATCCTGGAGGAACTTGAGTGCACAGGGCCACCTCATGCAACTGAAGAGTGGTTTTGCCCTTTTTGTGAGAGGGAAAGAGAGCTTGCCCCCACAACTTTGGAAAGCCCTTGGCTGAAACAGGGAGTGAGTGAGACTAATTAGTGCGTTGGGTTGCCTTAAGAGAAATCCTAAAAAATGTTCATTAGTCCCTAGTGAGGCCATGTCCATCCCAGGCACAGCGCTCCATACACCCATACCGAGTTCAGGGAAAGTTCTTCCCCCTCAGAGCCCATTTCCATCTTTTTCCAACCTCTACACAGGTTTTATTTTGTCCTGTCAGGGGTAGGGAATCACCCCTCAGGCAGAGCTACCGTGAGCTGTCTGTGGGGTTGTGTCAGGCCTTGAGCTGTGTCCATAGAGGCAGCACAAAGGTGCAGGGCAGTCAGAAACACCACACAGACGTACCCTCGTGCAGTCATTTTATAAATTTTACTTCTAGGGTTTAAGAGATTTCATGGGAGCAAGTCCTTCTTTATAAACGTGTGCGTAGAGATGGGTCACTGGGGTCTGTTTGGTTATGGTTTGTAGGTACTTGTAGGTACAAGTCAGGAGGTACTTGCTCGGTTATTAGCAGGAGTGGAAGGTGAAGGGCTGCCCTGTTAGTCCCTTCTAGGAGTGTGCAAGCCTATTAAGGAGCTTTTTCCTGAGGTCAAACCCATGGTGAGATTGCTGGTTGTTAGCACTTATGTGCCTATTCCCGGGCTAAATAAAATAGTACCTTCACTATTTGTAGAGGGAACATAGTAGATGCTAGTATTGTATGCTGTTGTTTCCATCTCTGAGTTCAAGGGAAGGGAAATCCTCAGTGTACAGCTGTGTCTCCATCTGGGACAACAATGGACAAATTCTGTGCTGTGGGCGTGTTCAGAAGCTTTACTACTAGATCAGATAACTGCAGAATGATACTTTTTCTTTTTTTGTGTGTTCCTTGTACTAAGCACCGGGGGATACTGCAGGCATTGTGAAAGCACCATCTGAGGGAAACCAGCAATATTGTAAAGCACAAACATAAGCCTGCTACTGTCAGATGGAATTTCTCAGTCATGTAAAATATCACATTAATGTAAACGTACAGATGAACTGGCAGTTGCTTTTTTTGATCTTCAGGTTTCTAGTGAGTTGTTAATTATCTGCAGCTGAGTGCAAAATATTCAAACGGGCAGCTGTCAAAAGGTGGAATGATTTTTTTTGTAATCCTGCACATTTTTTATTGCTGTATAATACGATAGTGTCATACACGTGTTCAGCTGGACAGAGGAACAGGGTAGATAAAATTTGGAGCTGAAAAGAAAAACAGTGACCTGTCTGACTGTCTTACTGGGTGTTTTTCAAGAAATGACAGGAATTCCTGGGATGTTTTAATTTGTATTTATCTCAGATTTTGTTTTTTCAGTGTGAACTTTTAATAACTTTGTAGTTTAACCTCGCAGGGACCTAGTCTCCTTTTGCTGTTATCTGGTTTTCATGTACTTATCTCCCACGCAGCACTTCTGTAGTGATTACCTAATGCTGCAGTTTCCCTCCCACTTGTGTGGAGGTCCCTTCCATTTCTGCAACACTGCTACCCTTATTCCACACCGGGGATAAAAGCCCCAGGGATGAGAGATGGTGAGCCTCTGTACTGCTCCAAAAGCCTGATTGCTTGTCCTGAATCAGGCTGTACTGCAACTGGAAGTGACTTTGTTTGGATATGCTTAATTGCAGCCTGCCTTTCACAGGGACATGTACATTTCTAACAGTATGACTAAACGCCTCTAGTATTAGTCAGCCTGATCTGTAAATCACTTACCACCAATATTCAGCCTACTTATTCCCCAGCAACAGAAAAGGGAATCCCAAAGAAGGCTCAGTCTGACACATGCATTAGTCTCAGGTGGGCTCCTCTTATTTTTTCCCCCACCTCTCTCCCCAGTACTGCATCCAGGAATGTTTCCTCTCCAGAGGCAGAAAAGGACTGGATGCAGTTCATTCTGCTGGCTGGCAATCTTTGGCTGTGTATGCTGTAGAGAGCTGAGTGCTTGGACACTGCCCTCCTGCTTTGCCCAAGCCTGTACAGGGGTCAGTCCCTGCCAAGGCAAGGGCAGCAAGTTTCAGAGTCTAACCAAAATTTACTGCCCCTGTCCTGTCAGACTGACTGCAGACTATGCAAGAGTGAGGAGCAAAGCTCTCTGGCAAGCCAGCCACGTGTGATAGGTGCACCCCAGTGGCGAGTCAATGAGTGGGGTGGGCTACAACAAAAGAAAACATCCTTATCCGTGGTTTGTCACTCACACTAACCATTATCTCTCTTGTTCTCTTATCTTCCCCAGGAACGAGTGGAATATCTCTTTCTCATAATTTTTACAGTGGAAGCATTTTTAAAAGTAATAGCATACGGACTTCTCTTTCACCCCAACGCTTACCTCCGCAATGGCTGGAATTTACTAGATTTTATAATTGTGGTAGTAGGGTGAGTACCAACAGTTTGTTTTTGAAGGCACTGTACACGTGGGGATGCTGGCAATCTTTGGGAGCTTAAGGATGGGGGAATCTCAGTACATTATGTATGAGTGATGTTAGAGGTTGCTGTCCATCATGTTCCTCCTACAACCACCATTTAAATGACATAGAAATTAAACTGCTCTTTGGGAACAGGGATAAAAAGAGGAAGCAGTGCAAGCTGTTGGACAAAGTCAAATGCCTGAGTATGCTTAAGTGCAAGAAAATCCCTTTGTTTTTAAATCTGTGTGAATATTAAAAATAATATCTAGGTAATCCTTTAATTAAGATTAGGAGATGGGTGACAGATAAATTCTGCCATCTTGTGAACTTTTACTGGTGTTTCTCATTCTGAAAGATGGATGAAAAATTTAAACCCCAGGTTTTCCTTCAAATTAAAACAAGTTCCTCAGCTCAATTGCCCTGTTCAGCTGGTGATTTCAACACTTTTTTGACCCTTTTAACATTTTAACCTTTTTAAAGAATAATTTTACTGTTGTAGATCAAATTGCTACTTTGAGCTTCAACCTTTCTAATCCTGTTATTCCTCTCCGTGTTTTTCAAGCCTTGAATAAAAGCAAGGTAATACACCTTCTGCTTTCTCTACCTAAGGGTAAGAGATAAGCAGGGGATTTCAATTGTGGTTGTTGGAGGGATGAGGTGAAGGATAAACTACCTCTGAAGACAAAGAGAACAAGTATTTCTTTGCCTGAGTAATTTGTCCCATCCTCCCACCACTCCATTGTTAAAGAGTTTCATCGCCCACAAAACCTTGTAGTCTTTTCACCTCCTTTCCAGAGAAACTCTGCATCAAATCCTAGGGAAAATGTCAAAAAAGGGACACTCCTAGTCATCAAAACCCCCTCATAATTTCTTCCCCAAATCATCTACCTTCCTGACCATTTTTGTGGTGGCCCAAAAATATTTCATCAGCAAACTGCTGTGTGCTACCCAAACCCTCCCACTTTCTATCATCACGGGGAAAAGTGGGTGGAAGGAGAATTCCCAGTGAGGGGGAGGGAGAACAGGCTGAAACCTATTCTTAGTCCCAAGACCTCTCTGCCTCCACGTGGACATAATGCTTCTCCTTATGGCAATGTCCATTGTCTTTCTCCTTTGTTCCTGCTCGCAGACAGAGGATCTGATAACATATTAGTAATTGAAAACTGGAAAATCCTCAACCCCTCCCCTGGTATTGATGTCCAGTTCCATAGTTGGTTCTGCCTTTGAATGCCCTCAGATATCCCACCTGCTTGGAAATTGCTGCTTCAGTTGAAGAAAGATTGGAGAAAAAAAAAGAGTCCTGTGAATGTCATTATTCCATTTTCATTTTTATGAGAAAGAGACATTTTAAAGAAAGGACACATTAGCTCCTCTTCTTCCACTGGAATGTGAGAGAGCAGGGCTCCAGAAATCACAGAGCAGCATTATATCTAGTTTAAGTACAGTCCTTTTCAATTTTCCTACTAGGGCAGTTAATCAGCAAGACGATATTCAGGCTGAAATTAATTCTGTTGCCGGTGACAGAAGCTGCAGCTCTCAGCTCTTCTATCTGCTTCTGCCTCCAGCAGCTCTCAGTTCCCCACTAGATGGGGAACAAAAAAATGTAACTGGGGAGGGATTACACGAGTATAATAAACATGGCCAAGACCCCAAGGTCTCTGTTAAATAGTAAGAATCTCAAGTGACAGATTCCACTTCAAGGCCAGATGGGTTCCTTTGATGTTTATCTGTTTAAACTCACTCGTACAGTACCACAGCCTAGGCTGGTGAGCTGCTTTTCCTCTCCACAACCCCTCTGCAAAATCTACGTGCTGATACCATCTGTTCCTGCTCTGCCCTCTCTTCTTTTCCTAGGGGCTGTCTGAAGTCCCTCAATGACATTATGTTTAAACTTCAGTGTATTTGAATATTTTGCCAGGGAGGAAGCCCCACGGAAAATGTTTAAAATAAATTTTAACGAGAGAGGAGGAAGAGGGCAAGTGCTGATAACAGCATTTCTTTGTGGTGCTTTTTTTTCTGCCTATTGATGGAGCTATTGGAGAAAGCTGAGTGGTTTGTACACAGCTGCAGCACTGGGCAGAGGGATTTATTTGGTATGTGGGGCAAAGAATGGTGGGGGACCAATACTGGAAGCATCAAGTCCCAGAACTGTAGTAATTGCCATTTGTGCTTGCTCTGCCTTAGGAATCATCTCGTTTTTCAAGGATGACTGTCCCTGCTACAAAACGTAGAAAGGCTAGGTGGGAAGTACTTCTTCAAGTACTGTTGGAAATTAAAGGAGAAAAAAAAAGGCAGGTTTTAGATCTTATAAATCCCCCTATGCACTGTTTACCACACGTAACTTAAAGAGATAATACTGCACAACAAGCTTCCTTTACCTTAAACAAATCAGTAAAATAAGAGGAAAATGGACACGTGCAGGACCAGGTAAAATTTTAGAGGGGAGTCACAGTTCCTGTAAAAAAGGTTATAACAATGTGCCTGTATACTGTCCCCTGCCTTCTGAAGATAAGTCCTTTGGTATCCAGAGGGATTGTAGAGTCAGTGGTTCTTACAAGGCCACAGGAATACACAACGGCAGCAGAGGGGAGCACTGAACACAACTGCTACATTTTTTGGTGAAAGGATGCACTTTAGACCTGCAGGCTTGTAACTGCTTATCATTCTTGAAGTGTGGGAGATCTGCATATTCATCAATTATGTCTTTTAAGGCTTGATTCTAGCTTATCTTTAAATAGCCTATGACCTTGCTATAGCAGCACTGTTAAATGCTGCTTTGAAGAAAAACGTCTGTGTGAGGATATCAATCAAGGCTCTACTGACATTATTAGCTAAGAGTAGAGACCACCCCCCTAAGCTGCCTAATGAGGCACAACCCCCACAAACACTAATGGTTAGTCAAATTGTCTCCTGCTTCCTTTATTTTTGCTGTTCCTCCTTTGGAAAACATTAAAACTTTCAGATTTCACAGTGATGTCCTTTAATATTAGGCAGTTGGAGGAAATTTCTCTTGAGGGAAGACCAACTTGACAACGCTGCGATAGAAAAATATCTGTCTTTCCTGGCAGTGCTGTGGTTTGTCTGCCAGGCACAGTCATTCTCCAGGGACCTGTAGCTTCTGCCAGAAAAAGAGGTGGTGTAATTTGAAAGACAATCTTACTTGGGAAGGGAAGCAGTGAAGGTGTATTTGGGGAGGATCTGAAATCAGAGCAGACTGGAAAATGGTCTTTCTGAAGACCTGTGTGAAGTTTCTAAAGGGCAGATCCAAACCCCTTCACACTCACAAATCACAGGTGAACTGTAAAACACTGTGGGAAAAAAAAATTCTTTGTATTTTACTATTTTTTTGCACCTGAGAGGATTCTTTCAGCTTTGTTTTTCTGCTGATTTTTGGCCTTAGAAATACCAAGCCCTCTGTTTCCTTTTTATATTCTGGAGGCCCTTGACAAGCTCTTTTTTTTTTTTTTTTTTTTAATGCTGTAAAACTCATGGTGCACTCCCCACAGAGGAAGAGATGAAGAGCAGGTTACAGCCTTATCATGCTGCTGTTGGGGTCATCTAGCAAAGTGAAGACCTTTTTGATATTTCAAATGTCAAAATAGAAACAGCAAAATATAAGAAAGAAAAACAGTGAAGCTGGTTTCATACTTCACAAGTAAATGGAAAAAAAAAAGTGTTGATAGAAATTTGTTTTTCTGTGTTACAGTTCATGTCTGTCAGATGAATTTAGTTAAGGTGCAGTTATGTCACAAGTGAAATTCAGAAATCAAGGTACTGTCAATTGTGCTTCATCAGTAGAAAGTACCATATCCAAATGAAAATGGGGCATGAATTTAGGCTGGCAGAAAGTAGTTAGGTGGAAGGAAATAAGGCTGATTTCTTTATTCTTTTTTTTAATTATTATTACTATTATCTACTTTTCATGGTGAGATTTTCCGTGGCCACAAGAGATTAACCCTGTTGCATTTTTGTGCCATCCACACTTTGATTTTTCTGTCAGCAAAGTGTTTCCCCACACTTATGCTTGGAACATACATTTGAGCTAACTAACCTCCTGAGAACAGAAGGAAAGAAGTGCACCTTGCTCCACACACCTACTGGAAGCTTTTCCCAAAGGTTTCCATCAAAGAGCAGAATTTCCCATGTAAATATAGGATAGAAGGGCTCTGGCCTCCTAATTTGTATCAGTAGCCTGACATCCACCCAGCTGTTTTAGTGTCAGAAAACAATTAGCTGAAAACCTGAGAGCATTAGGTAGTTGTAGCCTCTGAACTGTAGATGTCGGCTAGTGCCCCGAGTGAAGGAGGTGGCGAGGACAATGGAGCAGAACTTGAAGAGTGGGGTAGACATCCAGTAGGCCACACTGAACACTTGACCCCAATACAAAAGCCAAAGAGAGTGAAATAAATGAGAGAAATAAAAAGTTGCAGTGCACTGGTAAAAAGCAGGGGAGATATTAATTATGGAGTAAACGCGTTTAAGCAGGATTAGAAATTCAAGTTTAAATGCAGGGTTTTTAATGAGGAGCAGCAGGAATTACTGCAAGTTATTCCTGAAGCATAGTAGGCAGATGACTGTGGGTATCTCAAAACGTCATGCTTAGCACATCAAAACAAATAGGGAGCTCTGCACTTTGGGAAGGCAGGTTCTAGCTCTGGAGGAGTGAGCTGTCCTACTGGTTGTGTTTCTGCTCTTCCTGAACTAATTTAGGACATGTACAGCTTGCTCAGGGTGCAGAATTCTGGAGCAGTCTGTGGTTTGCTCACTGCATGGGTGGTAGTAGAAACAGCCTCAGTGCCCGATGCCAAGAACTGCTCTTTGGTAAAACAGGGAGCCAGTGAAAATGGGGACCAGGAGAATGGGACCTCAGTTTTGCACAATTCCTGACTCAGAGTTCCTTGAGATTTCTAGTCTTGGAGCTGAAAAACAGCATAAGAAGCCTTTTTGCAGTAAATTCTTTTTCCTCCAGAGGATCCCAGGAGACTGGGACTGTTGTATAGATATGTCACTCATCATCTAGTATGGGAATTCTGTTGACTAGGAAGATAGAAAGGTTTGAATATGAAACGGAGCACATTGCTAGAGCTTAATCACTAGCTTACTGAAAATACATTAGGCCAAATTTGACCTACAGCGTTTCTATTATGGAGACCAGCAGAAAATTGCAGCTGTGTAATTTGTGTACACAGCTCAAGAAATACATACATTCCGATAATACACGTTCTTTGCATCAGCCCTTGTTTATCTCTCTCTGTGATATCTGTAGTCAATGCAGTATTTCTCATAGGCTCTGTTTTTGTCTTCTCTGCATCCTGCTTCTCAGTCTGCAACACCTACAAACTCAGCATCCAACCTCCCCACACACAGTTTTTCCCACGCTTGTTACCTAGTTGATAAATCTTTCTGCGGTGCTTGAAGTTGAGGCTTTGAATAGATCCAGTTAGGAGTTCCTCAGTCACCGTTGACAAGTTTTATAAGACTCTTAAGATGAAATTTAAAAAAAAAAAAACAACCAGAACCCTGCTTAAGAAACGAATTTCGCGTTTGCACTGCTCTAATCCACTTGTTTTTTGTTGGATTTAGAGCTGGGGAAATGTTGACTTAGATGCTTCAGTAAATGAATCCTCCTTTTCCTATGCAGGCCAAGCTCCTTATGTTTGTGGCCCTATCTGTAAGATTTAACACAGGCTGCAGGTGTTGGAGCTCCTTGTTAAGCAATTGTCCAGCTCAGTCTCTGCTTGATGAGGTTTGGGAGCTCTCTGTGGAATATGCCAGTCGGGTCCTAGGGATGAGATCCTGACAGAGGCACTGCAGGCTGAAGTCTAAGGAGAAACTAGCCAGTGCTGAATCCAGGCCACTCGAAACAGGCTGTTCCTGGCATCCCAGGCAGTTTCTGTAGGGTTGTCTGTGGAACCTCCATGGCAACTTAGGGGCCAAGGGTGCTCTGCCACTCCCAGGCAAGCATTTTCTGCAGAGTGCCAAGCATCCATTTATACTGGAACAGCTTTTAACCTCTTCTGAATTTGGCTGGGTCCAAGCTGGTGGTTTCAAGGCTGAAAGCAATATCATTAGCAAATTCATGAGGAGTCTGTCCTCCCCCAAAGGTACTAATGTTTTACCAGAAAAATGGCAGCTGCTTCCTGAAAGCTAATTTCTTAAATCAAGTTCTTATTAACAGATAGATTGAGCCTTCAGCTTTTTCACAGAACAACATTGTCTTTTCTGCCTTGCTTGCTAGCATAATAAAACATTCCAATAATAACTCCTACAGTTTTGCACTTTGCCTAGCAAGTACATCAGGGGATTTGCAAATGGATACTCAAGCACACAAGGTGAAGACACTCCCTTACCTAAAAATTTGCACCTTGAAGGATCCCTGAGTTTCACACCAAGTTCTACCTGCAGTGACCTCAGTGAATCTTAATTCCTTGTAAAATGGGTGACAGATAATTAATAATTGGATTGATTATGGGTGATGATTTTTCTTCCCCAGGGTGGATTGTTTGTTAACAAAGATAGCAAAGTATTGGTAGCCTATAGCCGGCTGCAAGGAGCCATTAGGCTGAAGGAGGAGCATGTCATGTTTATGTCTGCTCCAGAAACAAGTGTTTTGGAAATGGTATAGACATCACCAATAGGCTGTTGCATATGGGAAGAGTCTGTCTCTCCTCTACCATATGTGAATGTCGACTGAGATGTGTGACACTCTTCGCAGGTCTGTGAGATAGTTTGGGTGATATGATGATGATGATCTCTGTTCCTGTTTAGCCCAAGCCTTGCTGTCTGCCTACAGATTGTTTCCTCTTTCTTTTTGCAGGCTTTTTAGTGCAATTTTAGAACAAGCAACCAAAGCAGATGGGGGGAATTCAATAGGAGGAAAAGGTGCCGGATTCGATGTTAAAGCACTGCGGGCTTTCCGAGTATTACGTCCATTACGGCTAGTGTCTGGAGTTCCCAGTAAGTAACAACATTGTTTTTCTTTTGTCTGTGGTGTGGCATGGGCAGGAGTCATTTGTGTGACAATTTTGGAGACGGTGAGTGAAGCAGATTATTTTTGATGTGTGTGGGAAGCCTTTTTTCTAAATTAATGCATTTGTGATAAACGTGGTATTAATCAAAGGATGACCAAACCAGAGCTGAAGGGGGATGGAAGTCTCATGGTATGTCAATCTGATTGTGCAGTCTCTGTAAACAGAGAAAGGAGAAGATCCAAGATTCTGTGTGATTTCAAGCAAAAGATCCTTTAAATAATTGTGAAGTCATAGTGCACTGTTGGTATTATAAATTCTTGACCTTGATGGAAATGCTGTATGGTCATGTGTGTTGATTTTGGAGGGAGAGGAACATTTTCATTGAAACTGCATTTTCTTCTTTGCATGTGGTGTTCAAATCAAGAGCAGTGGGAACAGTTTGGAAGCAACAGGACTTAGGGCAGTGACACAGTCATGTTTTCTGTTAGTCTTATTTGCTTAAATTATTTGTAATGCCTCTGAGGAAGTCCTCAAGTAGCCTTTGGTAGTCTGTCATCCATTTTCAACAAATTACATCATCCAATTACGACAAAGGTATGAGTAAGTAAGTCTGGTAATTCTATTGTGGAGGTGGAATATGGACATGTCAACGTGGGAGGATTATATCCTTTGGCTTGAGAGTTTGGTATAGGTGGGACCTGTTTGCCTTCTGGAGAAAGGGTTAGTTCAAAACTGCCACTGTTTCCTTTTTATAGTAAAGAGAGATGTGGTTAGTAGCAAAGGAGTTAATCTTCAGAATAGCTGTAAGAGAGCCCATTGTTTATTTTTATTTGAGGAACTCACTAGTTTGATAAGTTAAAGTACTTCTAACCTTAGTCATTCAAAAAACTTGAGCCGAGTTACCATAAATTGTGAGATCAGCTTGAAAGTCATGATTTATTTGCTAGGAGCAGAAGTGCGAGGTTCTTGTTCTTTGACTCATTTTCTGACCCACTAGGTTATATTAGAATCATGGTTGCAGGCTTTTCCCCACAGCCATAAAGGGTAGAAACTTTTTTAATGAAAGCTGATAGTCTCTGTGGGAGGAGCTGAAGCCCTGATAAAAGCAGAAAATACTGAGGCAATTGACAGCGCTGCTGTTTGGTCTCAGGAAAAGCTGTGCTTGCTAGTCTGTCTGTAAGGCCTCAGCTTGTCCTCAGCTTGGGGTTACTTTGGGCATCAGTGGGTGAGTAGAAAACCAGAAAAGTAAATGTTGTCTGTTAGGCAACTGAGAACCTTCCCCTCTCACACAGAGCTAACATCCATTCGTGACACCTCTGTTAGGCATTATTGCAGTGCTTGTTTCATTCAGGCAGTCGTGTACCATGCACTACCTGCAGTCCATGCAGAACACAGCTCTGCTTTGGGCCACATTTGTCTCATGAAGCCTGTTCTGTCTGCGGTCTTCAGTCTGTACTGGAACCCCCCTAACCCCTGGCTGTAAATTAAGGTTTTGTTCTTTCCTAGTCCTTCTCTGATTTAAGCCTTTTAGTGTTTTCTAGTTGTGTGCCCACTGTCTGGTAAGGGAAAGGTACTCAAATTTAAACATCCATGAAGAGGATTGTTTTGGGTGAGATGCTATTGATGCTGAGACAGGTTCTGAGAGTTGTCCTGACATAGGCTGAGCTTAACTGTGCTTGTAGTTCTTGCTTTTTGGAGAACAACGTGTGTTCCTCAAGACACAGGGAAGTTTCATTACTCCTGCTCAAATCTCTTGGCTAGGGCTCTTGGAGAACTAGAGGAAGCTGAGCGAATTAAATCTGACACATATTCATATCCATATACGATCTTGATGCCAGTGTAGATTATGTAATAATTCATTTGTGGATTTTTTATTAAGACAAGTATTTAATTTGTACCAGAACAGAGCCAGGGAACCTCATGCAGGCTAACAAATATTTGATCTAGACAACAAAATGCTAGTGCAGTGTGAAGCAGGTGAGCCACCAACCTGACCTGACAGACATCCTCTATTAGTCCTTATGGTCCTGACTAGGGACATATTAATTGGAAATGGCTTGTTTGGGGCTGGTGTGGCTTTAAAAAACCTACTGAGGTCTGTAGGTAATACAGCCTCAATCTTCACTGGGCATTTTTTAATTGTACAAATGCCTGTTGATTAGCCTAGAATAGATGTTATCGCATCCATATGTATTAGAGCGTAACTTTTCTCATGGGGCCTTTTAGATAAGATTGCCTAAGTTAACCATAAATAGCACATTACCGGATTATGCTCTTACATAAGTTTAGTGCAGAGGTTTAGAAGTCAAATCTCTGGGTCTTGTCCAAGTTTTGCCCCTGAGGCATCTTAAATACCGGTGGGGTGAGTTACCAATATTGCACTTGCAGTGTTTTGTCATCCATAAAGAAATACTTTTTGCTTCCTTCCCCTTCCAAAACGCAGTACACTTTTCCCCTGTGAAGAAACAACCTGCACTGCAATTTCTTCTCACTTAGCAGACTCTCTAAGTGTATGGAAGCAGCATCTCATTAGTAAGAGGGGATCCTCTGGGTCATTGGCAGCTGCCTTCTCCATGGAAATTCCAACATCTGCTGCTTGGCTTGAGGTCCAGCTCTAACTACCACTGCTCGGAAAAAAAGTCTGTAAAGCCCAACGATTCTTATAAACCAGATTTGTGAAACACATGGTGAATTTTTGCATGCAAATCTTAAATTCTTCAGGATTGGTGTTGGGAAATAGGTCGTCTGAAGTGGAGTGACTGGCTTGTAGCATGGAATAATTTTTTCTGAGTCACAAGGAGTTTGTGTAGATTTTTTTCCTCTCTGGCTCAGTCCACAGGAGCTAATGTAATTTAAGAGGGACATCTTTTGTATTCAGGTTCGTTTGTTTAAAAACCTGTCCCAGAATATGGAGAGTTTCCACATAAGTATGATTTGAAGGGGAAAAACATATTAATTGCCCTCTGAAGTAAATCACTGATGCCTGCATTTTGCAGATCAAAAGACTGAAGCAAAAGTTCAAGGTTTAACACTTCCAGAAGTGGCTTGTAATTCTTTGTGTCTCATCTACCAGTGCTGGACACCCAGGTCAACACAACTGTCTGAAAGCTTCAGAGCTCAGAATCCCTTTTTGTTCAAGTCCCATGCATTTTTATTTCCTGGGACTCGACTGTCTCTTGCCAGTAAATGTTTCAACCAAGGAATCAGGGACTGTCCAGTGCAGTAAGTGGTTCATCTGCAAGCAAAGCTGGTTCACCCACGAGCAGACAAGCAAAGGTACCTTTGACAATCTTTGTTAGGCTTGGATGGTCTGAGGCCCCAGATTATTTCAGTCCCTCCTAAAATCAAAAGGGGTTTGGGGTTATGAATTCAACAAAGCCTGAAGACTACATCTGGATAACTGCTGTGGGCACATCAATATTTCATAATCTCTAAGAGAACAGATGATGCTTTTATGCTTTGTGGTTATATGGATGTTCACAAGACCACTTTGTCATAAGGAAGAAGATGGACATTTTGTTTAAAAGATTAGACAGACATTTTTTTACCCATGTCACAAAAAGCAATTGTAGCATCATGGGATAAGCCTTCAAAGGCACTGAATTGAATGTATTTGGGTACAACTTCAAAAAACAGTGTAAAGTATTTACACGTTTCCAAGCAGTGCCATAGGGGTTGATCAGGTTTGGTTTTGGGGTTTTGTGTGGGTTTGATTTATTTTTTTAAGTAGTTTGAGTTCTTTTCAGGGAAACTTTATTTTTTTTTGAGTGAGAAGTACAGGTTTTTTTGTGACTATGTGAAGTGCATGGCAGAGCAGTAGATTAGATACTTTCCACAGCTCTCACCCCATGCTAGCAGTTGCTTTGGGAAAAAAAAAAAAAATTTTAAGAGCTAATTAAGCAAACTACTTTTCTCCCTCCCCCCCCCCCAACTATTTTTAAAGTTATACTGCTTCTGGAAAAGTGGTCCACACTCAGTCTGTTTAGCCTGGCATTAACGTGTCAACTAATGGTGATTATTTTCAAAAGCACATGGATGATTTAGGTTTCACAGTGGTGGGGTACTTTTGAAAATTAGACACAAGCACTTTATGTCACAGATAGATTTCACTGTTCAGCTATTCTGTCACTGTCATACTAGCACAGGTCTTGTAGTGCATTCTTTACTTCAGTTGCTGAAATCACTTTACTGCTGGTGTACCAAAGCAGTCTCCTCATAAGAAAAACTTCCCACGTGCATTAGAACACATATCTTAATATGTGTCATTAAGATCAATGTATTGGTTTAACAAAGGCGAGAGAAGGAAAAAAATTCCCTTGATGGGCAAAAGTAGACAAGTGCAAAATCAGCATGTCTACCAAAACTTAATCACTTTAGTGTCTTGGAAACTGTCACCCCATATCTCCTTTGGCAGGAGCGTAGAGCATTATAAAGCTGTCTAGGGACAGAATCAAGTCAACACTTTTGTGCTGAAAGTTTTCTGATGATTACTTCTTTCTCTCAATTTTATGTTATTGCATATTCTAAAACTTGTTTTAAACATTTTGTGCTTGAGGAGAGCAAAAAAGAAGCATCCAATTCGGCAATGAAGAAGCATGATCCAATTAAAAATGAAAATCGCTCCTGAATATTGGAAAGGGCAATCAGTTACTCCTACGCATGCTAACTCACGCCCTTTTAACTTATTTAATTCCATTTCTATCACCTTTATTCATGCTGCTCAATTATACCACCTCACACATTCTGTTCAACCTCTTTATGTTGTACTTTGTCTTAATGTAACTACATCGTTGCCACTGGTTATTGTCTGTCTGATATTTGCCAGAAATAATTGCTTCTAGACAATTTGGAAGCCATATAATTTGAGTGGATGTTGTGCTCCATATTTGTATTTTCAATGAGCTCCTCTGCTGACAACACAGATTTATGTGGGCAGAAGACCATGTTATGCTTACCAAAGCTAGAGAGGAAACTTGACCGTTCCAC